AAGTGTGGCTGTGCCCCCCCCCCTCCCTCCCGCCATGCACGTGGCCAGTACCGCGCAACACACGCGCCTCAGTGCGGAGCGATGGGGACGAGCCTAAGAGGGCTGGGTCCGATCAGAGAGATGGTTACCACGCCACACGTCCAGCCCTGGACTTTGCATACAAGAGCGTCCGTTTCTCATCATCTCGGGTGGAGCCCTCAGTCCCTTTGCAAAGGTTACAAGGCTCAGAAGGGTAGCCCTGTGAGTCTGTATCTGCAAAACCAACAAGGAGTCCAGTGGCACCTTAAAGGCTAACGGATTTATTGGGCATCAGCCTTCATGGGTAAAACTCACTTCATCAGATGCTTACTTTGCAAAGGCTAGTTCATTCCGCCTCATCTAGGAGGCAACTTAAAAATAGTTCTGCCTTGGGAGTTGGGGGGGAGGTTGCACAGTGTGTATGGTGAGGGTACTGAGAGCCCTTGATCCAAAGGTAAAGGTCAGATATCATGGGAACCACTTCAGGCTGGGGCAAAGGCAAAATTGGTGCCCGTCTCTGCTATCCCCGCCGCACGGTGAGGCCCCAAACCTGGCACATGTCTGAGCTCAACCCTGGGAGGTGGTTGTACAGTGTCTTCCCTTGCCCCCTCCAGTTTGGGGCCAGGCCCGCACACGCACTAACCCGCCACTAACGCGCCAGCAGAGATGGAGGAGGATCAGGCTGGGGGTGAAGAGGTAGGGAGGAAGCTCCAACTGGTGGCCGTGGGTGGAGGAAGAGCAGGCGAGCTGAGGGATGACAGGCGGAGCAGAGGGGGACTAAATAGGCACCCTTCTAGCGTGGCGCTTGGGGACAACTGCCACCCCCTCCTTTCCTCCTTGCTACGTCGCTGTTGCTAACTCAACGTCACACAGTCATAGCAAAGGTGGGAATAAAACCCAGAAGTCTTGGCTTCTTCCACTGCTCTGATCACTAGTATCCCTTGGTTTCTATCCCTATCTAATTCTAGATGACTAATCTGAACATGGTCAACACAATTTTTACACAAACTCAATTGTGCTTCACCTATAGAGTTAGTAACTGGTGATTATTAATAAATGTGGTGCTCTGGGGTCTGGGAATTTTTTCCCCCAACAGCATCTCATAAAGATGAACTTTTCTGTGGGCACAATTTCACTCCCACTTCATTTACTAGTCTTTCATGATATATGGCAGGTAATATTTTTATATGTCTGTCACAAACTATATATCCTATGTGATAATACGCTCCTATTTTAATTTTTATGTGGAACAGAAAAAAACTGAAATGCATCCCAACCACTCAAACTTTAAGATAAATCAACATTAAAATATTCAGTGGGTTGTAGTACAGGCCAAATTGCATGTCTGTTAGAAACAATCACTGGAAAGGATAGAGTATTCAAGAAGAAATATATTTCATCCTACAAAATTTCACAGTAGAATAGAGTGAATATTAGTTCTTTTATTAGAGATGTTTGGGTATTTTTAAAATTTGAAACCCCTTACGTTAATGACCCTGTGTTTTAATCTAGATTTTCACTTGCCACTTAGAAGTATAGACCTTTTAACTGATTATATATTTTGCAAACTACAACTGTAATTGTCAGATTATAACTAATACTTGAAACAGATTTATTTCAACATAGAATTGGCTGCATAATTTGAGACATAGCAGTTTGAGGTCTGTTTCAAACTATGTCTCAATTTGTAATCAATACTATATTGCAAAACTGAGGCTGAGTAACACAAACATTTCCTTTCAACAAAACCAATTAATGCATTCCGTGTAGCGTAGCAGAAAAACAGGTCTGTTGAATGATGCTTAAATTTGAAATCTGTCTCATTAGTACTTCAGAAAATAAGATTGAATGCATGTTTTTGTAGGCATATAGTATTTGGTTGAAGATTTCCTAGACAATAAAGCTTGAATTTTCTGAGGATGCAAAGCTGCATTTTTACATTATCCACAAACCCACACATTTGCTTTCACTTTCAGATTAAATAATTTTTCCAATATCTGCTTTTACATGCATCATTTACAGACTTGTGTGAATATGAGAGGTTTGTGGATGGAGTAGGAAGTAGGGGAACACATATTTATTCCCTACTTTCTTTGTCTCCCACTGACTCTCTTAGGGTATGTCTATACTGCATTCCTCTTTTGAGAGAGGAATGCAAATGCAGCTGGGTGAAATTGCAAATGAAGCACGGATTTGAATTTCCCGTGCTTCATTTGCATAATTGCGTCCGGGTGCTATTTCAAAATACCCAATTTCAAAAAAAGAAATGCAGGGTTGACACAGTTATTTCGAAAGAAAACCCTTCTTTTGAAATAACCCTTGTTCCTCATACAATGAGATTTACCAGTTATTTCGAGAGAAGGGTTTTCTCTTAAATAACCACATCTTAACAGCGTCTGTTATTTTGAAATAGCGCCATAACACAATTATGCAAATGAAACATGGGATATTTAAATCCTGGCTTCATTTGCAATTTCGAATATCTTCATTTGCATCCCTCTCTCAAAAGAGGGTGCAAGTGTAGACATACCCGCTACTTCTAGACTACATCCCTCTGTCGGCAGAAGGATGTAAATGAAACACTTCAAAAGTGCAAATGAAGCCAGGATTTAAATATCCCGTGCTTCATTTGCATAATCATGTAATGGTGCTTTTTCGAAAAAGTGCTATTTTGAAATTGAAAACGCAGTTACCCTGCATCTAGACTGCCACCTAGATGCGGTTCTTTCAAAAACGGGGCACTTTTTTCAAAAGATCCTGTTAACCTAATTTTAATGATCTGGTAAACCATTTTTTGAGGTTTACAGGATCTTTCAAAAAAGTGCCCCATTTTCAAAAGAACTGCGTCTAGGTGGCAGTCTAGATGCAGGGTAAGTTTTTTAGAAAAAAGGCCACTTTTTTGAAAAAAAACCTGTAATCTAGACACACCCTATAAAATGAGGTTTAAGGGTAATTTCAAAAGAAGGGTTTTATTTTGAAATAACCATGTCTACACTGCATTTCTTTTTTCTAAATAGGGTATTTTGAAATAGCGCCCGGACACAATTATGCAAATGAAGCATGGGAAATTCAAATCCATGCTTCATTTGCAATTTTGCTCAGCTGCATTTGCATTCCTCTCTCGAAAGAGGAATGCAGTGTAGACATACCCTTAGGGGTCTGTCAAAAGGGACTGGCAAAAACCTTCATGTCCCCCTACTAGCAGACTACAGATGCTCCCAATACACGTTAATTGTTGCTTTATTTATTCTGATATATAGGTGTGTGAGTTTTGGCTTGTTAGTGAACAGCTGTAGATTGCCAGCAGGATAGAACTCTAACAGTAGAAAGAACTGAAGAAAAATATTTGTAAAAATATACTGTGAATATGTAAATCTCTTGAAATTGCATTTTAAAGGATGTATTAATGCAAATAATTCTATTACGGTAATTATTCTGTGTTAATTGTAAAGACTGTACTGAACTTTGCTTGCATATAGTATTTGATGGAGATCCTAGGCCTGATTTTCCTCTCCTATACACTACTGTAACACCATTGATGGCCATGGAGTTATTCCTGATTTATAGTGAAGTAAATGAGAGGACAACCAAGCCTCTCATTATTTCTAGTTATTTATTCATTTTTCTGATGTTCCTAAACAATGTAAATTAGCAATCCTTTCAGAGGCCTATCTTGTGTATGCATAATTCCCATTGATGTCAGTGGGAATTATATGCATGAATCAAAATGAGAATTTTCCCCTGAATCCCATTCATTGTTTTTACATTTTCCTTTGTAATTCTGAGTTTCCATTTAAAATATAGCAGATTTATTTACCAAATATCTTGTAATCAAGCAGAAAGAGAGAGAGAGAGAGAGCGAAACCAGGGTCAGTGGGTACATTTTTGTATGCTTTTGCGCTTCTGAAAATGCAAATATACTTGCTTCCAAGTGAAAGCAAAATTCAGAATGGCATGCCTTCTTCATTAATAAGTCTCAGGAAAAGATCCTGTTTTAAACTTCAGTTGTTACTAAAATAATTTGAGGATTTCTAATGACTGCAATAATGTTTACTGTCTGTGTCCTAGAGAATTATAGCCCTGGTGATTATACAGAAATGAAATGCATTAGACATTATGATCTTGTAAAAAGCTCTTTGAATCGCCACAGTAATTTTCCAGTTGAAAGTCTATTATAGCATAAATAAAGTATATTTAGAACTACATTTACAAATATACTATGTAGTTCAGGACATTTTGAACATCTCATGTAGGTCTTTTGTTACTTTTCATTATTTCCATAATCTAGCTCTATTATTTACTACTTAAGAAAATATTTGTAATCTGCTTCCATTCCTTATTAGAGATGAGCACAAACAAGAACTCCCTTTGTGAATTCCTCAGACCTTGAGAAAGTTTGATTCAGATTTAAGCTTTGTTTCAGGGGTCTAACACTTAATCTTACTAATTATTAGGCGTGCTTAAGAGGTGGAAATTCACTGGCTGAGTAATTCCATTGTAAGCATATGTCACCACAAGTAAACATTGAATATGAGTTTTAATTTGTACTGTGGTAGTGTTTCAAGGCCCATTCAGGACTGAGACCATATTGTAATGGATAGTACAGTGCACGGGACAGTACAGTGCCTATGTAACCCACATGCCTAATAGGAAGATAATTCTTTAAGCAATCTATTGTGGGGTGAATA